TTTTTGAGACAGGGTCTCACTCTGTCACCCAGGCTGGAGTGCAGTGGCACAATCTTGGCTCACTGCAGTCTTGAACTCCTGGGCTCAAGCAATTCTCCCACCTCAACCTCCTGAGTAGCTAGGAATACAGGCGTGCACCACCACACCTGGCTAATTTTAAAATTTTTGTAGAGACAGGGTCTTACTGTGTTGCCCAGGCTGGTCTCAAACTTCTGGGCTCAGCTGATCCTCTTCTACCTCCCAAAGTGAGATATCACAGTTATAGTTTTAGGTACTAGCAAATCAATGCAAAACTATTAAAAATATTGATCCAGGCTGGGCACAGTGGCTCACACCTGTAATCCCAGCACTTTAGGAGGCTGAGGCAGGTGATCACTTGAGCCCAGGAGTTTGATCAGCCAGGGCAATATAGCGAGAGCCCATCTCTTAAAAAAAAAAAGTTCATACATCTGCCACCTGAAATTGTCCTGGGTATCCACAGTGGTCCACACACACACTTTGGTAAACACTGCTATAGTGAATGCCTGCAGTGAGCAGACACCTGTCCTGGGGCTAGAGGGCTGAGGGAAGCTTGACCCAGAGCTCCAGCTCCTGGCCAGTGTGGTGAGACAGGTCCTACTCCCCAAAAGGCAGAGGAGCCAGCACTCCACAGGAAAGCAGTTGGGGTCAACATGGTTCCAACTAAGTGAGTGCCCAGGGCTGGCAGGGTCAGGGTGGAGCGGGATTTTCCTGCGATGGGGAGGATGCTGATCCAGGTTCAAAGTCAGAGAGACAAAAGAAGAAAGCAGGCGGACAACCCTGCACGGAAGACTCTTAGGTGCAGGGCCTCCAGGGACAAGGAATGGGAACAAAATAGACTGCAGAGGTCAAATGGGCGCAGAGAGAAATGAGAATTGATAAAAAGATTTAGATGAGTAGGGGGCCAAGCGTGGTGGCTCATGCCTATAATCCCAGCACTTTGGGAGGCCAAGGTGGGCGGATCACTTGAGGTCAGGAGTTCAGGACCAGCCTGGCCAACATGGTGAAACCCTATCTCTATAAAAATACAAAAATTAGCTGGGCGCAGTGGCGGGCATCTGTAGTCCCAACTACTTGAGAGGCTGAGGCAGGAGAATTGCTTGACCTGGGAGGTGGAGGTTGCAGTGAACGGAGATTGTACCACTGCACGCCAGCCTGGCCAACAGAGTGAGACTCCATCTCAAAAAAAAAAAAAAAAAGATTTAGATGAGTAGGCACCAGGGAGCAAATGTGAGAGCAGGAGGTGGGCAGAATGTGGTGACAAGGCTACGTCAGCTTGTTTGGGTGCCCATCACACACACCCCACCTTTTTGGGCAGAGATAGGGTCTGTGCCCAGGGTATGTGGGTGATGGGCATCTCCTCTTCCCAGGGGACAAACGCTTCGAGTGCGCCCAGTGTCAGAAGCGCTTCATGAGGAGTGACCACCTCACCAAGCATTACAAGACCCACCTGGTCACGAAGAACTTGTAAGGCCAACTGCGGCGGGAGGCCCTGAAGATGCAATCCCCCGCCTGTGTCCTCCCTGGGCCCCTGGTGGAAAGGAGCCCTGTGGCTGCCTTGGGCCTGCCCTCAGCCCCACTCCTGTTCTGCAACTGTCCCCGCAGGAAGGGGCTCTGCTCCCTGTCCTCCTTCTGAAGCCCCTTGGCTCCGCCTTGGCCCTTCCCCTCACCACGAGCTCCCAGCCTGCCCAGACTGTGGACACTGGCCGTGCCCAATGAGACGTTCTAAACCAGGACGCGTGGGAACCCTTATTTCCAAAGGAAAAACATGCATTTCACTCCGTCGAGGAGCAAAGTGAGCCCCCACCCCCCACCCCAATCCCCGCTCCCAACACTGCCGGAGTCGCATCGTGCCATGCCCACTCTCCTGCACCTCCCTGGCCCTGCCGGCCACTGTGGACGCCCTGGGGCTTGGCACCCACCTCTGGAGAGACTCGGGGCCACCTCCACTCCATGTGCCCAGCCCCGCCACAACCTCTCCTCCAGCACATTCCAGCTCTGTTTAAAAAGTAAAGACACCCACCGACTCCTCCTGATCCCCCTCTTTTTCTATGGAGAACGTTGCCTTATACTCTCTACTTCAGATGATGAACACTGTGTACTGTGTGTGCTTTAAAGAAGTTATATTTAATTGCTCCCTTCTTCCTTTCCTTGTTATTCACCTCCCCAATGCCTGCTTTCAGTTGAGGGTTGGGGGCAATGATGAGCATATGAATTTTTTTCTCACTCTAGCAATTCCCTTTTCTAAATGACACAGCATTTAAACTCAAATCTGGATTCAGATAACAGCACCTGCCCATCCTGCACCTCTTCCCTCTCCCTTCACCTCACCCCTGCCCGGCCCAAGCTCTACTTGTGTACAGTGTATATTGTATAATAGACAATTGTGTCTACTACATGTTTAAAAACATATTGCTTGTTATTTTTGAGGCTTTTAAATTAAACAAAAATCCAACTTTATTTTTAGTTGTAACTGCTTGAGGTATGTTTTATGAATTAAGTGACAGATTTGTTATCCTTTATTAACGTACTTTGTTGGTCAGCGCTGGGCTGACAAAAATTTTTTCTTGCTAATAAATTTAGTTGCCTGAGGCAAAATCTTCAACTTGGCAGTTCGGCTTCCTTTGTCTTTTCCCTTGGAGAGCTCGGAGAGGAGACTCCAGAGGAGGGAGCTGTGGTCTCTCAGAGCGATCCACACTGGGATCAAGGTAGGACCTTACCCTCCTGACCCTCAGCAAACCCAGGCCACATGCCCAAAAGGGGCCACAGCCACATGTACCTCACGACACTGGCACGAGCCCCCAGAGCACCTCCAAGGGCCAGGGCCCAGTGCAGGTGTTCCTGCCTTTTTCTTCTGTAAGCCAGTTTTGCCTGTACACAAATCAGATACAAAGAGCCAAGTCACAGCAGTGACCTCAGCCAGCAAGTTAACTCCTCCACCCACCTCCCCAACCCCTGGAGGAAGGCATTGGCCTCAGAGCCCATTAGCAAGAGGCTTAGAGAGGAGAGCCAATGGGGCCTTGGCTCAGTCCCCTCCAAAAGGCTACAGTCTGGCAAAAATGCATTTCCCCAAGGGCCAAGGTCCCTTCCCAAAGTGAAGGGCCAGGCAGGTTCCTGGGAGGGCCTGGCAGCTAGAGGGGCCTGGAGCCCAGCTCCACCCGAGAGAGGACTCTGGCCACAGATTCTGGTTCCTTCTATATCCCCTGCCCAGTAACCCAGAGAGGACGACAAGTTGATTGTGCCTTTTGGTTTTAGCAGATGCTGCAAATCTGAAATTTTGGTGGGGATCTGTTTTGCTTTGTTTTGCAGAGCTAATAGGAACTCAGGGGTTG